CTCTTTCCCCCTTTTTAATATTCTTCCATATGACCAGGATTTGGAATGAGATTATGAGATGCAGAAAGTAGTAAGAAAAAAAAAATTTGATTTAAACTATTCTGTTAAATACAAGGTGCAAGAAACCCCTGGCTGTCCTGACACAACCTACATACTTCCCTATGAGAGCAGCTCCAAACTCTTGAGTTTGTGGAAAAGGCAATGCTCAGGACTCACCTTTGTGATAGGAGCTTCTATTGTCATTGAGTGGATCCTTGCCATGGAAGAGTACCGTCGGGTCTGTAAACTTGGAGCTGCCGTTAAAGAGAGCACTGTTTACATGCCACAGAGCGTGAATCAGATGACAGCATTTGAAGAGTGCAGAAGGCTGTCACTGGGGAACAGCACGGCAGAATCCAGCCTCCTCTACCATTTCTCCTGAATCTCCCCTCCTGCAAGTTCTTGCTTTACTGTTTAATTTCTTGCACTGTTGTTTACCTCCTTTGCAGCCACCCCTCACTTCTGCTGTCAGTTTTTCTGTCCATCCGTCACTTCAGCTATACTGAAATGAAGCTGTACTTGAGCTATATTATACTTCATGCCCAGTACCTGCCACTCTCCCTTTGTTTGCAATGGATCTCTGTCAGACATGGCTCCTCCTGTGAGAATATGTGTGTTTATCGCTCATCTCAGTGATACAGCTGCTCTAATGAAACCTGTTCCTGCTCCCCATAAGCTGTACTTCTTTCACTACATACTGGGGTAGAAAGAAATGTCTGCCACCACCGTCCCAGCCCCAGCAAGCGGTCACAAATGGGATCAGGAGCAGAAGTACTTGCCCTCAAGTAACCAGTAGCAATAGATCCCTTCATGTCCCACACTAATGAAACCAAAATACTGGTTCGGGAGCACAAGCTGCAGCTTTCTAAGCGGTGGAACTAACGCTTCACCACGCACTCTTTTAGCAGGCTGCCCCCATGCCACAGCACAGCCACTCCTCCTCTCTGTGAAGGCACCGCATGCTGCATGCATTGTATAGTGATGCTGGTGCTCATGCTGGGCCACTGTTTTGCAAATCAGAATAAAGAAATTGTACAGCAGTTATAAACAGAAATTACTCCAGTTTTTTAATCAGCTGTGAAACTATCTGGTTCCTCTTTCATGCTGCATTTTTATTGCCTAGGGCAAGTCTGTTCTTTATTTATAACGTCATTCTTGACAGTTTACTTTCTTACCATCACTACTTTGAGATGTTATTGACTTATCAGTTGAGTCTTTCCTTCTGTTCTTGCATTTGAAGGAATGGGATTCTGTAAATACAAAACAAAAGCTTTAAAAATGCATCAAGTAAGACCTCTACAGAGTCTTATTCATCTAAAATTCTGACCATTTAATTAAATGATCTTAACGATAACACATAAGTGGGGGAAATACTGTAATCCCTGCACACCAGAACAAGTGACTCAGTGTCGATAAATTTACAGCAACTTGTCTAAAGTCACCTGGAAAGCTGTTTTGCAAAGAAGTCAAGATGCCTTATGGAACAGGGGAGTCGCTTCACCTAACTTTAGCTGCCTAAAAGCAGCAGTCTTTCAGGTTGTCTTTGTCTAAGGTAGTTGTCAACGATCCTGCTTTAGGAGAGATGTCTCAGGCAGGGGGGTTGAACCCCTCCTGCAAGTCCCTTTTGCTCACCACCAACCACTGAATAAGCCTGAGTTTGACTGCCTAGAAATTTAGCCAAGTGAGAAAAATCTGATCTCAGTGTACACTCTTCCAGCCCAAGCACAATTCAGACTCAGACAGCTTTTGCTTTTAATTGCAATAGTTGTTTGTACCCTGTGTTTAAGAAAAATCCAACATACTGAGAATGATCATATCAATCAATTCAGTTGCTGTGAAAATTAGCCATGCACCAAGCTGTCATTCTTGAAACTGCCATTGCTAAAGCAAGAGAAATTATCACATCTAGACAAATGCAATAGCTGGATGAAATGCCTGGAAAGAGCCTCAAAAAAAAAAAAAAAAAAAAAGAAAAAAGAAAAAAAGATTTGGTAAAATTTCATTTTCCTCCAAAACATTACAGTCTGCACTCTCCCTTATGTTTACAAACAGCAACTGTGCATCTCTGCACCTCTTTGCAAGAGTGTCTATAGTACCTATTCCCAAAGTATCTGAAATGCCACTCAAAGATCAGAGACCCCAGCAAGCTTTCAAAAGGAGATAACCACCACGTGAAAAACCAGAAATATCATAAAATTCGTATTGTCAGCATAAGGACTGATTTGCATAACTATGTTACAAGCCTGTCTTTAGCAAAATACAATGTTGGTATAAAGTTGTCCAGAATTAAAAATATATCCATCTCAAAAATGACTGAAATACAGTTTCTGACTTAATTTTTTTCTTTACCACAGATTTACAAGACAGCTTGCATCTTTTTATTTTGTTGTAGTCCAGACTGGAGAAACTGAAAGCATTTTCCTCTGTCGACAACTAAAAGCAGGGAATAACTAATGCATGTTAAATTATTTTATTTATTTATTTGATAGGACTTCTCTTTCAAACCCCTTTCCTGCATTAACACTTGGAGGAGTTTAACGTAAGGCACTTGAGTGGGAGCAAACTTTTACACATAAACATAGCTGCGAGTGGCAGTAGCAGACAAGTCTGGTCTCCTTGTATTAAATAACAACTAGCAAGTTGGAAACTTTGCTAGTGCCACCTAGAGAGTCACAGGTGCATAAAAGCTACTCTGTGCCATGCTACAATTTCAGCTGAAAATATTTAAGTGCTTAAATAAAAAAATTTCCTTCACCTGGTGAGGGGAAAGTCTCCCTATCCAGATGTGTTAGAAATCACACCATCGCAAACAGCATGATACACATGGATTATTTTTCTACCCTAATCACATACTGGTATATGCGCATGGCTCTGGGAATTTATTCTTGGAGCACAACCATGGACTGCAGTGAAGGATAATCTACATCACATACATGTGACTCCAAGGTTGCCTGCTTTCACTGCACTGCAGTCATCTTCATGGGATGTGGCCTTCCAGCCTTGCTGAAATCTGTGACAATAATTATCAAACCTAAATGCCCCACATAATCTGTAAAACACATTAGTAAGCTAGTAACTACATGTTAACTAGTAACAAGTGTTCTTCAGCTTAATTCACAGTCGTTCTCACCTTCCCATGTTTGCAGGAAAGAAACAGTGAGAAAGAAAAACTGCATTTATTACAAGGACACAGGAGCAAACAGTTTAAGAGATGATGGATCAGCTGTGATGGCAGCAATGGTAATGAGTGCAGCAAATTGCATATATTATCTCTTCTCCCCCCTGCCCATTATTATTTGGCATCACAAAGCTCTCTAACGCTTGTACATATTCTTATGCTCCTTGAAAAAGTAGGTGATGTCAAGCAGTCACTTCCCATGCTCTTGGTATGTTATATCCTCCTCCCATGTGAAAGTCAGAAGCTGCCTGACATTGTACGGCAACGTTGTCCAGTGTTTCATAGTGGGAAGGACGTCGGGTGCCAGAAGGTAACGGGGCACGAGAACCTGTTCACTCAGAATAAGACAGCAGTGCTGCATATGGCTCAGATCACTACAATGTCAAGCTTAAAATTGGCCTTTAGTACCTTCTTCTTCAGGGAAAATGGTTATTCCAAACATTACACAGCATCGGAAGAAGAGATTATCCCCTTATACCCCACAACTTTAGTCAAAAGCTATCTGCAGAAGTTACTGAGAGCTTGAACATGCTGTCTGCAAGTAAGCAAACCTGCCTGAGACACAGGGCAAGGGTTGTGCAGACACGCTGCAACAACTCAGTGCTGACTGGACATGACTAGCTCTAGCCTGGGCACTACAGACAACTACCTTAGCCCTGTGCTGGGGCCAAACCAATTGCCTGCTGACAGGTCCTAAACTTGGAAACACTAGGGCAAATCTTCTGGCACAAATCAGCACAGTTCCACATTAATTTCAAACAGAAAGGGGTACCAAGTTACACCAGCCTCAGGATCAGACACAGCGTTTTAATACAACGAAGAGCAATGCATCTTAATTCTGAATGCACGGCAAGAGTTCTGCACAGGAGACTGAATTATTAATGATGGTTACAAATCCACTTTGTGGTGCGACAGCTGGCATCTGTCATTGGCCATCTGCTCTGACCACTGACTCAACAGAGAGAAGAAACAACATTTCATACCAGCAAAGCACCCAGCTACAACCTCAAGCACAGCAGCATATAAAGGTTAATGATAGCATTCTAACCTGACTGAGAATTGTCTCCTGTGTGCTTCTCATCATGGTGACTCTTGTAGAGCTGAAGATGCACCAAGAATAAAATATATATGCAAGGAAAAAGAATACAAAAAGATTTTAAAAGGGCTACATTCAACACTGTCCTTATCCAACAGTTACTGTTCAGTTATTTAAAAGAAAAAAAGTGTTTGGCAAAGACTCTTCTTTAGGTATAATTAGATGTAGAGAAATAATATGAAAGTAAACAGATATGCAATACAGGAAATCACAAATACAATAGTGCTTTTATGTACTAAGTTCCTGTTTAATGCCTGTGTCTGCAGGAGAACTGACATTCATTTTTAGGTAGTGTTTTAAGTGCAAATTGCATATGAACCTGAAAGATTCCAGGAATAAAACACAAAAAGAAAAAAAAATCCCCAAATGTTCATTTTTGCCCTCTGTACAGTAATTTAAAACCATTTATTAGTACTATCTAAGCTAATTTTGCACGCATGCATCCTTTCATGGGTCACTGATAAACTGGACTTCAAAAAAACCCAGTTACAAAAACAACTCTCCAGCAACTGAAGGGTAGAGGTAGGTGTCAGGCATCAGAACTTTCTTTATTTCCAAGTAATTTTTAATCACTCTCATGAATGAAAAAGTTAAACACAAAATCTTAATTCTTTGTGCTTCCGAAACATCTTGGGTAGCTCCACTGATAGATATTTTAATCTTTCTTAGAACTTAAATAGGGTATTTCCATCATCTTAGAGTTTACAGCTATTGCTTGGTTTACAATAACACAGATTAAATGCTCCTCTGCTTTTCCATCCTGCTCAGAAAGAAACACACAGTCTGTCCAATACATGACAGTTTAATGTCTGCTAATCACTTCACCCCGTTCTGTTGTTGGGAAAGTATTTTGCTGTTAATAGGAAAACTGAGCAGAACTTTCAGTTCCTCAAGTCTTCCCCCTAAAATTAGCACATGACGATTTAGGTATAGCTAACAGAGACATTGAAAAGGACTAAAAATACTTCATTACTTTTTACTGTATTCACTGGAGAAGGTATACATACCCTGTACTTCAGATGAATAAACTTCAGTGCTTGACGCTGCACTTACTTACACATTATTCATTACACACCGTATTTAGGAGTCCAGTGCTGTCATCTAATCTACAGTGATTGGCTCCTCTGACCAAATCCATCACCTGCCTATAGCAAAGCACTAGACTGCATGGAAGCAACTTGTGAGTTAAAAGGAGAGTACAGCGAGGTTGCACTTATGTGCTCTTAGCGTCCATATCATTTTGTGACAGTGCATGCTGCAGGGTCCTTACAGGGATTATTCAGAAAAGAAAGGAAAGGAATGATACAAATTCTCTTTTCCATCATTCTTGCACACGTTCCATCTTCTTTCCTATTTGCTATTGGGGGAAGGAGGGGAAGAAGGGGAAGAAGGGGAAGGGG